CAACTCCCCTCCTTTTTCATCCAGGCTTGGGAACGGCAATGGCAGAATTCCCCAGTACTCCAATAAACACAGTGACATATTTTCCAAGGTTTTCTGCTTCTGCGTGTGCAGCTTTGATTACTTTGTACTTGTGTAAATGTGTAATCGTGTAAATGTGTCCATTTACCTGATCATCCTCTCCACCTCCTTCTTCATCATAGTAATAGATGTTGTCCCTGACACCATCATCTAGCAGGAGTGGCTTGTTTTTGTCCTTTTTCCTCTGTTTAGCAAACCGCAGCATTAGCAGCACCAGCGCTGAACACAGAGAGCAAAGTTTAGCACTCAGTAATCAACCAAAACCTAATTAGCTGTGAAAGGAAAGAAATGCTCTGACCTGAGACTACAGATGTGTGACTAACCGAGCAGCAGGATGGCTCCAAGTATTCCGAGGATAAGGGGCAGGTTGCTGCCACCTATACCACGGCCTAAGCATGTCGCCTCTGCTCCCTTGCCCTTGCAGTGGCAAACTTCAGCTTTGATGATGCTGTCCTGCTCCAAGCCATGTTTGTCTGCCAGTCTTAGTATAATACTGTAATCTCCACTGGGCAGCTCAGTGGCTAAATTTAAGATTACCCCTGTTCCTGAAATAAACAAGACAGCAGAAATGTAGCTTTATAGTTCTGTGTTGATGGATTTGTTGTGTTACATATTTTTGAAAATGAGACATCTCAATAAAGCCAGTCATCCTTCTTTTAAGTATGTTGTGTTAGGGTTTCTTTTCTGGCAGTACTCACTCTCCTCACACAAGCACCAACCACTCTAGTCTCAGTGATGAAAACTGAATCATGTATGAGCTAAACTTTAGCCTTTGGAAGGAAGCAGCCCTGATGTTCACAACAGGAAATATTTTTGTTATCGCAAAAGAACACAGCTGATAAAATATCAGTGAAATTTATGTACCAAAATATTTCAAATTCTGGCCATCTTATTGGACAGCATAAGTTTGTACTTGTCACATGTTAGCAGTGTACATACTGGAGTCGTTCATCCTAGCGGTCCAGTTGGTCTTTGACGTGCCCTGTAAAGACACTGAGTACGGAGGTCCAAATTCTGGTCCGTCTTTATCTGTTACTGACAGCAGCTGAGGAGCTGGCTCCTTGTTGCACACCTGAGGAAACACAAGGTCACTGTGAAGCTTTTCTTCATGCTGATGACCATCCTGTAGTTGGAAATCTTACAAACACACCCATCCTGCACCACAATTAGACAAGTTCAACACAAAACGACTCTTGAGCTATTGGAAATAAGACACACCGTGATTTCACGCTCTTCAATAAATGGAGCATTGTCATTGACGTCTTCCAGCAGAATGATCAGAGTACCAGTTCCTGTAGCTGGGACTGCATCTGGTCACAGAACAAACACATCAGGAGACCAAAATGTATTTAAATAAAATCTGTATTATTGCTCAAAAACTTTGCTCTGGACTGATTCTTATAACTAACATTTGGCTGTTAAACATAAACAAATGAAGGCAGAGCAATTAAGGGCTGCAATGTTATTAGCTATGAGCATCCAAGGGACATCAGTTTGTACTGGAATTTTGTTTAAGGAGAAGAAAAAAACTTCAGGGAAATAACACACTTTCATATCACTATTATTTTGCTACTGGGAACTTCAGACCAGCTATTGCAGCTTTTACACCAATTTCAGATGTGGTATCCAATTTAAGCTTGAGCCTCTGTTTTTTTTTTTTAGATACACATCGTTTTAATACTTATGAATATCAAAATAGTATAATCAACAGAAAGTATTGATTTTTAATCATTTCTAATGAAAACTGTTTTAATGTCTTTATTATGAAAGCGAATTAGATGATAATACCGCAGATGTGTTAAAATATATTTCTTTCAATTCAGCTCAAAATAAAATGAGGTCAGTCAGCTGAAACCTGTCTGAGGCACCTTTTTTGTGCTTGTACTGCACATCTCTCTTTTTGTGAGAACCAACAGTATTCACCCATCATACTCAATTTTCCCTGATATTGGTTGCATGAATGCTTCACAATCTGATCATTTAGTTGGCCTCAGTTTCCTTTTGAACTCAATGTCAAGTATGAGTTCACAGATTTCAGGACAAACCTAATTTTAGCTTCACTTTTCTAAAGACAGAACATATTTCTTGAAACAAAACGTATTTCCTAAATGCTGAAATGCGCTGCTGTTTCTGTCCAGTCATCTTCGTTGTTCAGTACTTGGAACATCATACTGTAAACTAGGATGTGTTAGACAAAAACAGTTTTCAGATTCTTAGTCAGCAAGTTCCTGAGGGAAAGGTGAAGGAATCCCAGAAGCAAAACTCTTGTTTACCAGTGTAATTATTCATACACTTGTAATTTAATAAAATCATATCAGTGGTCATTGTGTATGGGAGTCAAATGATGATAATAGTTTGCAGCAGTCTTAACTCCCACCTTACCATCATCATATGCACCAATGTTTGCGATGTATCTATTGTTTGTGACAAAAGGAGCTTCTCTGTCCATGAATCTTCTCACTTTAATAAGGCCTGTGTCCTTGTCCACATTCAGCCAGCCTGCAGGGTCATTAATTATTTTGTACCTGCACAAGACACAGAAAGATGGTAATACTGTGCAGGCGGGGTGATTGCAATTAGCATGTTTCACAATATGGCACAATGTGTTATTTGATTTTTGACATAGACTTACTTTTTCCTTAGGTTAAATACACAGTGACAGGTTAGGCGCAGAATGCAATTCAATTCTGTATTATTTATATTGTGATAAATCACAACAACAACAGTCAATTTAAGTTGCAAAACCTCATGAAACACATTAACTGTCACAGGGTTCCTGTATCCTACCAGTGCTACCCCTGAGCTCATTAGTAGACACACCTATTAATCAGGTTTTTATGGCTGAAGGGTAACAAAAATGCTTTTCTTCAGAAAAAGAAATAAAAAACAGAGAAAAAAATAGAAATAATAATAATATTAATAATGGCTTTTAAGACCTTACTGATAACGTTAATCCAAAGTAGTATTAGGACCACAGAAATGAAAAAAAAAAAGTCAGTGATTAATTTGAGAAAAATGTTAAATTTCGAGCCCAAAAAAATCATGACGGAGGTGTGGTCTGTGGCTCTGCTGCAGAGGGGGTTTGGTTTAGCAGGCCCAAGGGACAGTACAAGAGAGGCTGGCAGGGCAGCTGAAAGCAATTCAGTTATTTATATATAGGGGCATCAGGACCAGAAGGAAGATAAACGTCACGGGGCTTCAGGAGCAGACCTTGAGTTTATTTAAGATGCTGAAGGCAGGAATCTGATTTAACAAAAAAATTATTGGAGGCCGGAAAAAACAAAGGCAAAAGCGCACTGAGATAAACTAAAAATCTAAACTGTGAATGTGTGTGTGAATGGGTGAGTGACTGAATGTGTAACGCGCTTTGGGGTCCTTAGGGACTAGTAAAGCGCTAAACAAATACAGACCATTTAAGAAGAATTCAGAAAAAACCCAAGAAAGCTAGAATGCTTGGTGTTGGGCCAGGGGCTATTATAATGGGGTCGGGCCCCATGTCCTTGAATAGATTGGTTTGTCTTGGATAGACATGGTGGTAGTGGAATCTTCCACTGGTCACGTGACAGGCCACTTTCCATGGTGAGATACTGAGAGAGGTTTTGAAAGACAACTTCTTCTGAGCCTGGTAAAGGAGAGAGACAAGTTGGAGCTGAAGGTGCCAGATTCCACCATTCCTGCCTTGTGGTGAAGAAAGATGGGTCTATGGTTCTGTGTTGACTGAGGTGTCGGAATTTGATGCTTATCCCATCTCCCTGATTCTTCAGTATCTCCTGTTCAGCCGTTTCTTGTGTATGACTTTACACAAGAAACGGATTCTTGTGTAAAGTCATAATCAAAACATTGTAAATGCAAATGTTCACTATCATCTGTGTGTTACTTGTGCTAAGGACTGCTCCGTCATCCACAATGATTTTGTTGATACTCGTGCTGCGGCAAGTGTGTTCAAGACTGATTATGAACTGCTAAGTGATGTTCCCAGGAACTCTAGTGTGAATGTTGTTCATGTGGCCGAACATACTCTGTTTAAGACTGAAACCCAGTCAGTGTCATGTGGTAAGGGTGAAAGAACTGTGTCAGAGGGACGATGTAAGGAAATCGTATACCATGTTAATGATTTAGTGAAATCAAAGACTGTTTCAAGTGTTGCTCCCTTAGCCGCACCCCATGAAGCCAATGTTCCTGAGGCTAAGACTAATGTTCAGTGTACTTTGGATTTCTGTGACATGAAGAATAACACTTTGTGTGGTACTGACCTAGAAACTGAAAATGTATCCCTAAGTAATGTTTTCACTAGCATCTGGACGTAGTATTTTGTGGGAGAAACGTTTCGTCACTCATCCAAGTGACTTCTTCAGTCTCCTTCAGTGGGCTGGTTTCAGTCATTATGCAAATGTACTGTTTATAAGATTGGGGAAACCTGCAGTCAGCTGAGACTGAAGAAGTCACTTGGATGAGTGACGAAACGTTTCTCCCACAAAACGCTACGTCCAGATGAACAGAATGGGCACTGGGTAGGGTGTTCCCGGAACACCTCACCCAGGAGGCGCTCAGGAGGCATCCTTGTCATATGCTCGAACCACCTCAGCTAGCTCCTTTCGATGTGGAGGAGCAGCGGCTCTACTCTGAGCCCCTCCTGCAAATGTTATTTAAAATCTATAATTAGTCTGTGTGACGATTATGAAGTACCAATAAGCTATCAACAACACTCTGTACTGTTAAGATTGTACACTTATTGTTACCATCAAGTGTTTTCATAAATGAGAGAACCAATTTATTCTGTTTATCTCTCTCTGGTGCACAATGCAAGTTTTGGGCTCGACCCCGTTGTGCTTGAAAACATTCTTCAAAGTTTTTGGTCTACGTTGACATGACATCATCATGCAGATTTGTCAGCTCTGGAGCCATCATGCAAATCTCCCATTCCATTCCATCCCAACAGCGTGCCATTGGATTGAAATCTCGTAACTGTGGAAGCAACTTGAGTACAGTGAACTCACTGACTTGTTCAAGAAACCAGTTTGAGATTATCTAAGCTTTGAGATATGGTCTGTGGTCCTGCTGGAAGCATCAATAAGAAGGCAGGTACACTGAAGGGAGGGACATGTAGCAGGCTGTGTAATTTATGTTATTGACAAATTCTGTTCCTTTCAACAGAAACAAAACTCTTCGGACCAGAAAATATTCTTCCAATCTTTGTTTGTCCAGGTGTGGTGTAAACTGTAGCCTCAGTTATCTGTTCTTAGCTAACAAATCACCCAGTCACCCAGTTTGATCTTTAACTGCTGTAACCCATCTGCTTTAAGGTTGAATGTGCTGTGCTAGAGATGCTGCTCTGCATATGATGGTTATCCAAATCTACAAGGGGTGCAACAATACATGTATCAATATTCAACTGTTCGATACAGTGTTTTCGGTTCGGTACACATATGTATCGAACAATACAACATTTTTTATTTATTTTATCAGCTTTTCTTCTGACGATGCTGTCTGTGTTGAGCGCTCAGTGGATCTGCGTTCGACTACCCCGCCTAGGCTGCACTGTCGAGTGCAGATCCACTGAGCACAGCGCAAGCTAGCAAGACAGAAGCTAAGCTCATTGAAACATGGCAACTGCCTCAACGCTACCTGAAATTGAACCTCCCCCACCCTCATTCAGATCTGGCGTTTGGAACTATCTTGGTTTTCATGTGAAGCACAACCCTGATGGTAAGCGCATCATGGACAAAAGTAAAACAGTATGTCGGATGTGCCACGCAATGCTCAATTGGTGGGAACTAGTGCGTTAGCGCAGTTAGCTTGTTAACGTGTCGACGCCGTCCAG